ATATATGTATGTATATTTTAATATATATATATATATATATATATATATATATATATATATATATATATATATATATATATTATATATTTCAATAACTAATATATGCATATGTGTAAACGGAGTTAGAATTCAATTCTATCTGAGTTAGAATTGATAGCCTATCAGAGTGGTGCTGATGGCATTTTCAACCCTCTGTTGATCTGATCTAACATGTGTCCGACTTTAGCAGAGCTCTGATGTATTTTATATAAGCTTGCCATATGAAGAGAATGTACGTTTATAAACAGGCTTAAGCTGGTCATTTTTTAGCCCACAGCAGAAGTTACCGATTAACTAACATTAAACATTAGATTACCTAATATTTATGATGGGTGTCATGTCTCAAAACGGTGTCACACACACATACCTACTAGTAAGTGTGTGATGGAATGAGCCATAATCACGCACGGGTCAGTGCTGTGCACAGTCACCTCACACCCCCTTCAAAAAAAAAAGCCCACTGATCAAAAAAGGTTGTAAATTCAACTTTAGGATACCTGCATATATCCAGATACAATTTAATGGGTAATTTAATAATATTATGAATAATACAGTATAATTACTGCTTTTTACATTACTGTGAGGGTTGGGGAAGGGTGAAAGCAGAAGTAGATAGATACATACAAAGCAATGAGAAAAGTAAGGCCTCACGCAGTGGTGCCCACACAGTATTAGGAGGAGTAAGTTTTCTTACCAGACCAGCCACAAGCAGTAAATATATATTCTAAAAGTACTAAATCTGTTCACAGTTACCAAAGTTAATACAATTCACAAACAAAAGTGTTTTGATAGTCAGAGATCAGACTGGTTTAAAACAGGTCAGACTGCTTTACACACCCTGCAGTTACGAAAGATGAAGGTTCATTTATAAACACACACAATTATTCAATAACTTAAAGATAGTGATTTTATTTAAATAACGTTATGATGATAACAGTGAGTTTTCATGAAGTAACCAAAATAAAGAAGCAAATATGATGAAATTGCCGGTTGCGTGGCGTTTTACTGACTAATAGCTCCATCTGCTGGTCATTTATGAGTTGACTAAAAGAGTCTATAATATAATATAATATAATATAATATAATATAATATAATATAATATAATATAATATAATATAATATAATATAATATAATATAATATAATAATATAATTTAATATAATAATATAATATAATATAATAATAATATAATAATATAATATAATATAATATAATATAATATAATATAATATAATAATATAATATAATTTAATATAATAATATAATATAATATAATAATAATATAATATAATAATATAATATAATATAATATAATATAATATAATAATATAATATAATATAATATAATATAATATAATATAATATAATATAATATTATATAATAATAATATAATATAATATAATATAATATAATATAATATAATATAATATAATATAATAATATAATATAATATAATATAATATAATAATATAATATAATATAATATAATATAATATAATATAATATAATATAATATAATATAATAATAATATAATATAATAATATAATATAATATAATTTAATATAATATAATATAATATAATATAATATAATATAATATAATATAATATAATAATATAATATAATATAATATAATATAATATAATATAATATAATATCATATAATATAATAATAATATAATATAATAATATAACA